GTTCAGCAGGAAGACAAGGCTACGTACGACACTGTCTATGACGCCTTGAAGGCGAAGCTGCAGAACGCGATGGTCAACCATCAGTCAGGTAGAAAGGGTGATGTTTCGGAAACCAAACGATATTCAATCAAACTGTGCGTTACACCTCACACTCCCACAGTGCTGATCTTTATGTTAGGGTTTGAGGATCCCCGTTTCGGATGCCGATGCATGCATTGAAGAAAAAGTCGGACTTCTTCAAGGCCATCGGACTGACGACTGCAGACAAGGCTAAGCTCGAGACCGTGGCGACCATGGACGCCGTCCGTGCGACCGAGCTCTTTAAGGAGTGGGTGACTGCCCATGTCGAGGTCAGCACTCAGCCAGCAGGTAATGCATGCAAAGAAAAAACGTGGACGTTTCCTCAACCTCAAGACGACCTCAACCTCACTTGCAATCTGTGCCTCCGTGTTCTCTTTTGCAGGTCAGGAACGCAAGAAGAGCAACCACACGGCTGCAACTGAGGGTAAGTGAACGCCACTGCTCAGTAAAAGCTAAATACCCATGCGTTGTTACTAAGATCAGACATGAACTACTTGAAACTTCCCTGTCATGCAATACATCATGTTGCTTGTATCCCTTCCTAACTTCACAACAAAATGTACAACCCCCCAGGCCAGGCCAACGTTATGGAGACGCAGCAGGAGCCCCTCGGCCAGAAGAGCAGCCGCCAGGATGGGGATGAGGGAGATGATGGGGACTACAGCGGGGAGGACGAGGGCGAGGGCAGGGAAGACGAGGGCGAGGGTGGGGAGGACGACGGCGAGGGTGGGGAGGACGAGGGCGAGGGCAGGGAAGACGAGGGCGAGGGTGGGGAGGACGACGGCGAGGGTGGGGAGGACGAGGGCGAGGGCAGGGAAGACGAGGGCGAGGGTGGGGAGGACGACGGCGAGGGTGGGGAGGACGAGGGCGAGGGTGGGGAGGACGAGGGCGAGGGTGGGGAGGACGACGGCGAGGGTGGGGAGGACGAGGGCGAGGGCGGGGAGGACGAGGGCGAGGGCGAGTGCGCGGAGGATGAGGGTGGGGAGGACGGGGACTGGCTGTACGAGAGCGGGGATTACATGGGCGGGGAGGACGAGGACTGGGAGGACAAGGGAGGGGAGGACAAGGAAGGGGAGGATGAGGGAGGGGAGGACGAGGGAGGGGAGGATGAGGGAGGGGAGGATGACGAGGGGATGGGGGGCAAAGTCCTGCTCGAGGAGTACGGCAGAACCAAGAGCCAGAAGGTCCACAGCAAGTCCGCGCCTCAACCAACTGGGCGCCGCAAGGTCCTGGTGACCGGAAAACATGACAAAGGTAAATTGTAGCTTCAACATGACAATAAATTACGACTACACACGGAACTTACTAACAACAAGGCAATAAATTACGACTACACATAAAAATTAATTTATGAATCACTCTCACTTTTTGTAGGGGCATTGGATGCCAGAGGGCGGCCCACGCGCCTGAGGCAACCCTCGGTGAAGGCGCGGGAGAGCCAAGAAACGGTGGCAATGGTGGTGCCTGCACGCACCAAGCGTCCACGCCCTAAGGAAACCCCACTGGTGTTGCCGGAGGACCCTTCGGCTTTCGGGGCCACAGCGTCAAACCCCGCAAAGAGGAAGGAATCGTTTGGTGTCGGTAAAGGCCGAGCTGTACAGACCCGCGGGGCTAAGGTGCAGCAGGAGAAGGGCAAGATGGCCTTGGCAGAGATTCGGAAGGGGGGGCTGAAGAAGCAGCGGAGGTAGCTTAAACAGACCGCGGGCAGTGATCAGGAACCTGGAGGGCGCCTGTACTTTCAAGTGATTCTTAATGTTGAGTAAAAAAGTGCCTCTAGTCCTCGTGGTACCGATTGAGAGATGTGAGCAGGTTGTAGTAGGCCATTGGGCAATGCTTTGTGTAGGATAATATGAACCCGCTATTGAGCTGGTAATCGCTGTTTAATGCGTAAGAGTTTGGTCGGTTGACGTCCTGATAATATCTATGTTAATGCCCCATTACCGAGGACATTTTTGTAACTGGCCGCCTGATAAACGACCTGGTAAACACCCGATAATGCTGCCTGATTACCGGGTAACTGACCGATTACCGACCCTAGCCTTGTAACTGGCCGCCCGATAAACGACCTGGTAAACCACCCTGGTAATGGAGCCTGATTACGGGTAACTGGCCGATTAACGACCCGAGCCCGTTAACGACCCAGTAACCTTATAGCCTGGTAATCGAGGCCGGTTACCAGGTGTTTCCATTACTGGGCCAATAACATGCGGTAGGGCAATACAGGTGGCAAACACCGGAATTAACCTAAATTTCACTTATGATGAATTCAACGGCTATATTCATGCTTCCCAATGTGCTTTCGGGACTGCACGTCAAAAATAACCTCGTCCAGACAACTGTCCCGTAGCTGCTGAGCCTTGGGCGCTACACGTCTCTGGACTGCCAAATGGCCGTAGGTAGAGAGCAAATCGTCAGGACAAATAATGCCTCCCCACACTCAAATTGGATGGCAAACATTTTTACTAACCTCGTCATAACATTTCACACACTCAGCGCGCATATCTGTGCATAATTATGACACTTTCAAGGTTGCACATTTACCAAGCTTCTAGCTGGCGAGTAACCTGTCCAGACAACTGCCCCGTAGCTACTGAGCCTGACGAGTTACACGTCTCCGGACTGCCATAGGGGATGTTCTCAGGGAAGATGGCTATTACTTGTTTGACCAACATCATTTATTTACTATTAAAGAGGACTGCTTTGAAAATATATTGATGACGTAGTTTTCTGAGTAGTCTTTGGTGTTCGGTGGACAACTGAAGGTTCGATTGTACTTACGGCCGGCGGCGGTCTGTGGCCATTTGGAAAGATTTACTTCTGTAGGGTGCAGTGCATGACATCCATTTGATATTTATTATTATCATTCATGTGAGTTATGTTGTGCGCAAAGCGGCAAGTACTTGTTGGCTTGCCCACCTAAAAGGTGGGCAACAGCCTAGATGTTGGATGAAATGGGCGAGCATGCTCGGACTGAGACACATCTCGATCATTGCTCGATCCGGAAGGAACGCCGTAAAACGTAAAACAAGGCGCTGCGTTCGGGGACTTGGCGCGGTGTTATTGAATAATATGGAAAGTATGGTAAAATGAAGAGCGCAGAAGTCCGAAAGATGTGCAGTGTAAAGGAGTGGCCGAGCATATGGCGGTTACAAAAGTTCTCATGACGCAGGCATATGGGATGTGACACCCGGAAAAATGGCAAAGGGAAGCGTCAAGTAAAAAGAAGAGATAATTAAAAATAATTAAAAAGAACTAGCAATAATGAACGTTGTGTTCGAGAACTGCAGGAAGAGATGTGTAAGGAGTTGCGCATTAAAACCGGGCTGAGCGTCTGCAAAATTAATGAGCAAAGTATTCACAGTAAGGCGAGGAAGAGGAGGAGAGAGTATAGGAAGAGGAGAGGAGACGCCTTCAGGGGAAGGAGGGTGTAGAGGGTAGGACACAAGGTCGGGGAGAGCAGGGCTCGGGCCGAAACGTAAACCTGCCGAAACGTAAACCTGCCGAAACTAGTTTCGGGGTTTCCGACGAAGAGGTCCTTGGTCAACGGAAAGGCCGAAACTAGTTTCGGCCACTCTCGGCTAGCGCTGTACGGCGGAACCTACTTTCAAAGCGTACGCGCGGTATTGAA